AGTGTTATTTGTAACTGATCTTCCAACACAATACAGGACCACGTCATAAGTAAAACTTACATGAAAAACAACTACCATCAGATGTTATAAACCATTACCCATTAGAGTTGCACCTATTGCAAAATCAGGCTTCAGACTTTACCTGGGTAAAATTCTGTTTTCTGTAAAACAATTTACCTGGGTAAAGATATAAAAGCAACACTCTATAGTTAGAGACAAAGTCATTGGAGTAGTTGTTTTCATAGGTCAGCTTTGTCCCCTACCCATGTTTAGTTCTTTAATATTCTTGCAAGGAAATACCTCTATGATATAATGAAACTTGGGTTTACCAAAGGTAGATTGGTGACAGAGTCCTGGGAGACCTGATTTTGTTTCTGTTGCAGGAACTGCTACAGGAAGACATTGGATAAAATGTATTAACAGCATTGAGAAGAGTCAAAACCTAGGATTTCCACTCCTTCCGTGTAAGTGTTCTTGTCACTGGGCTGCAGAGTTATGCTTTGATTTAATTATCTGGTGTATTAATTAGAAGATTTAATAACATAATGCCTTAAAGCAATGCCATTGTCAATGCCCTGATTTATTGATTCAGTCTGTATTGTGATATTTTGTGTTGCATTTTTTCATGTGTAATTAGTAAAAAAATACATTATATATTGGCAATACATTATTTGTATATTATTAATGTAGTGTATATTAAAATTATGTATTTAAAATATACATCTGTATTTTAAAATTAGGTACTTATCTTCAAGTAATTTCTAACATCATATTACATTGGAGATCAAAGGAAACCTATTTCTCTCTTCCTCTTATTTATATGTGCATTTGATAATAGTTTGTGTGTGATTGGTATATCTAATAGCAATGTATGCCCTTCTTTGACCATGTGGGAAGCATTTTCCTTTCCTTTTTTGTCCCTGTGACAAGATATTTAGCAGAATTTGCAACCATCCCTGATAGAGATTTGTCTAAACTGCTTTGAAAACCTCCAGTGATGGAGGTTCCATAAAATAAAATTGCATTGTAGTGCTTCACTATCCAGAGGGTCCCTCTAGACAGTCAGGCAAAGGCATGATAGGATCTGAAGTGTGATCCATATAATCATGCTTTCTGCTATAACACACATCTTTTTTTTGATACATGGGAAGTCTAGAACCACCATCCTGGGTTCCCCCTGCACCAGCAAATAAAAATTCTTGCAGCTGTGAGTCCCACCATGGGGCACTCTGGGACAGAGAGGCCGCAGCGGTGAGACTCTTGGTCCTGGAGACTATGGGGCATTGCCAGGGCACAGGGCACAGAGTCCACAGCTTCAGGACTCTGAGTCCTGGTGGCACTGCTGGGAGGGAACATCCCCTTAGTTGCAGGACTCCCAGCCCTGGCTGTGCATGGTGCATCCTCATTGCTTGGAGCCTTGTTAGTTGCTGGGGCTATAAACCAGCTATAAAGTTAGTACACACATTATGACTGGTTGGACCTTTTAATGTCCTGATAGGTACTTTGGTTGTGTAGGTGGTCTTAGTTAATTGTGCAATTGACCAGTTAATACAGTGATGGGCAAAATATGGCCCACGGGCCAGATCCAGCCCACAGGGCCCCTTAAAAATTTAGAAAATTAACATTTATCTGCTCCTGGCTGCCTGTCAAAGACAACAGGAGCCAGGGGCAGTAGGACTTGGGGGAGCCTTAGCAGGAACACAGCAGCCCAGCCCTGCCCCACCCCTAGCCATTGCCCTGCCTTCCTGCCCCTGCACTGCTCCAGCACCATATGGCTCCTGACTGCATTGCTGAACTGGGAACATGGACCACACTGGTCCCCAGGGGTAGGGGGGTGCAGTGTGTGTAGGGAGTGAGTGTGTGTGTGTGTGTGTGTATTTGTAGGGTGAGCCCCACATGCACACCCCACCATACACATGCATCCACCTCCCCTTGCACTGCCATACATGCAGACCCCCACACCCACAAACCCTCACATACCCCAGCCACCCTCCCCCCACACAGCTCTCCACAAACCCCATACCCACAAACACCCCACATATACACATTCCCCACATGCTCCCTCACCCCACATCCACACCCCATGACTATCTATCCCCCACAGACACACCCACACCCTCCCCCACACCTCACATACCCACACACCCACAGCCCACTACAAACCGATACCCACCCCCACACCCCCCCACAATATACAAGAATAAGACTTCATTTTAAGCTATTATATACAATCACTTCTATGCATACTATGCAAATGCATGTAAACCAGGACAAAAATATTTTTTGAAATCAAATTAATGAATGTTGTAGACATTCACTTTTTAGAATATAATATGGTATTTTTCTGGTTCCAAGATAGCAAAACCCTTTGCTGAAAGGAGTACTTCTGGGGGCAAGGGGAGGGACTTCTGATGGCAATCAGATGGTCAGGGGTTAGGGGGTGGGACTTCCAGTCACAAGATGGCGACCAGGGGCAGGGCACCTGTCAAGGGGCTACCCATGCGGCCCACAACAGCTTGCAAAACTCAATAAGTGGCCCCCTGCCCAAAATAATTGCCTGTCCCTGAGTTAATAGGTGTAACCCGTAGAGGGGGCCTAACAATTGGAAAGTTGTTGCTTGTTCTAAAATCTAAGAAAAATGGCCCTTCCTACAGATTAAACCTGTTACTATTAAACATTCTTGCATATGACATGCCCCCAAATATAACATACACTTTATTTTGGGAGGACCCCAAGAAGAAAAGTTATCTTACTTTAGAGTCTGGGTAACTAATTGAGATCTGGGGTCTCTGAGGCTGAGAGGTCATGCACTAGGGCTAGGGGACTGCACACCAGGGCTGGGCTGGGGTTGGAAGCTGTGTATTGGGGCCGATCTGGTCTGTGGTTAGGGATGGGCGCTCCCTAGGGAGAAATCTCATGACGGGTAGGGGCAAGGGTGAGAAAGGGAGGAAATAGCTACAGCATTCATTACTGTGGCTTCCAGAGCCATGGGAATTAATGCTGATACCACTCTGCTCCCTTCCCCCCCCCACATCTAGACCCATAGGAAAATGGGGGGAAATGTGGGTATATATGAGAAAATACAGCATTTGTCCTGGTCACAGTGGGCATGAACAGAAAAGAGTTTACTTCCTTTCAGTAAACTTTTACATTGTGGAGGCTATTATTGTGTCCCACCACAGCCTTCTCTTTTTAAAATAAACCTAGTTTTTTCCACACAGCCTATGTTTTGTAGACCTCAGATAATTTTTGTTGAAGATAATGCAATTACAGCAGCATTCCCCATATGTCAGGGAAAGAACTGCAATGGATGTGAAAAGACAAGCCACAGCAAGTCTTAGCAAGCCTTGGGGAAGAGCAAAAACAATAGAACCCCCCCCCATGCAGCTTCTTAAGCAGAAAATACTAGAGAATACCCAGCAGGGTGCAGAGCCAAATAAGTATGCTGTCAGCATTAGTAGCAGTTTTATGCAGTCTGGAAAGTAAAAGGACAAACCAGCCTCAGTGTGGATGGGGATAAGTTCTTGCTTATTGGAAACTGAGAAACTTATGACAAATTTAACTAGCAGATCAAACTTGAAAAGAAAAAAACTGCAAAACAGTACACAAAAAATCCTCACTCAGAAAGTATGGTGGTGAGTCTGGTTTTACAGGAATAGCATGGTTCAAGTAGAATTCAATAAGTCATCCTCCTTTTCCTTATAGAGTTCTAATGTTTTGAAGCAGCGGCAGGAAAAAATAAAAACAGATCCCATTCAGCTAAAATGCATCTGAACACCAGTAACATACCAAACATTTGGGATGTATTTTGGATACACATTATCCCTTTCAGAAAGCACTGGCAAGCAAACAACATCTAACGGTCAAACTTTTAATTCAGATAAGTTCAAATTTTAATTTTTTTAAGATTAGGCATATGTCTTGGCCTTTACTTGGTCTTTCTCAAAAATACAAGCACAGTGTGAAAAGAACCATTTAACAAAAAGGTACAAGTGAATGGGTTATGTCCCTAAATCCAGCCTGTCAAATTTTAAAGAACTGTTGAAGCTAGCACTTGCAACAGATTAGTAACCTGCGACTTTCATAGAGGATTTGTTTTTAAGATTGGCAGGAGATGTTTTCATAAAATAGATGCATCTCAAAGATATTTCCAGATGGATGTGAAAGATCAGTAGGAAAAATTCTAATCAAATCTAATATTTCTAATAGTTCTTAATATCTGCAGAGATTATTTGGTGTATGTTGACATATAGGTACTATCTATAATACAGTCAAATGTGCATGTGTAAGACAGAAGGTTGTGTGAAACACCTTTACTCTTTCTCAGTCCTTAGAACAGTTGGGAACTGGTTTAACTTTCAGCAAACTATAGTTAACTATTTCTGACTATACAGAAAGAGTTAACTAAATTAAGAGATTTAGTTACGTTATACAGAAAGAATTATACATTACTTGAATGGAGTGAATGTTGGTTCTTTGCTATGTAGAGCCTGGTCTGTCTTGGGAGACTTATCTGGGGCCTGTTGGCTTCCACACCTGGTTAAATGCAGCTGCTTACACTCCTGCTGTATCAGCCAGGATTCCTCAGGGCAGAAGAATCATGAACAGATGTTCCATGGCAACTTTATGAGCCACCTATGTTGATCTGATCATTGTTAGGGGTTGAAATGTGGATCAGGGACTATAAAAGTGTGAAATTATTTTACAAGGAGAACTTCTTTCTCGATATAAAGTTTCCAGTTAAAGTGGAGATGTTAGTGAGCTTCAATACTTTGTGAATAAGAGTCCTTCCTTGGGTACTCTGCAAAGTACTATAATTCCCTTTTGTAGGAAAAAGAAACAATTATTAGAATATAGTATAAAGGCTGATCATGAACAAATAAATGGAGAGCAAATGCATAAGCGCACTAATGCAATGTATTTTGCAGACATATGTTTTGCATATGCCAAGTGCTTTCAATTGTCACTGAGCTCTGTGGGATCTGAAGACACGCATCTCCTTTTAGGAAGCACTCAACACCTTGCTCTTTTAGGCCCAGACCACAGTTCTTTCTAAAATATTAATTTCCATTTCGCTG